TCACTGTCCCAAAGTCCATCATGGACTGTCTAACAAACAACCATTCCATCTCCTTCCTTGGATGTGCCTCACAGGTTTTTCTTGTTATTTTTTTCGCTGGAACAGAGTTTGCCCTTCTTATAGTAATGTCCTATGACCGCTATGCTGCCATCTGCCACCCTCTGCATTATGAGACCATCATGAGCAGAGGTGCGTGCTTGCAAATGGTGACTGCATCTTGGCTCAGTGGGTGTGTCTACGGGTTCATTCATGTAGCAGGTACATTCTCTGTCAATTTCTGTGGGTCAAATGTAGTGCATCAATTTTTCTGTGATGTTCCGTCACTGCTTATACTCGCTTGTCCCGGAGAACTGATTTTAGAGTATTCATTTATTATTGCTAGCTGTTGTTTTGCTTTTGTATTTTTCACCTTCGTGGTTGTTTCTTATGTTCACATTTTCTCTGCTGTTCTCAGAATTCCTTCTGCAAAGGGCAGAGTGAAAACATTCTCTACCTGCATGCCCCATATTACTGTGGTGACATTGTTTCTCTTTTCTGGGTTTATTACATATTTAGCAAAAAATCTGGAGTCTTCATCTTCACTGAAACTGTTGATATCTGTGCTTTACACTGTGCTACCACCAGCTTTGAATCCTCTCATCTACAGCCTGAGAAACAGGGACATGCAGAGTGCGCTAAGCAAAGTGATAGCTAGAAAGATGCCCAGGATATTTCCTTGAGTGACATGAGCGAATTTATCCCAAATGGGTGATTTTGCTGGTTATAATTATGTCAAAATGAAGGAAGAGCTCTCATTTCCTACTGCCAGCCTACAAGTATGCACAATATATTTTCTAAGAATATTAGGGAACTCCTCAGGCTAAAATCAGACAGAAATAAGGTGAACTTGGACTTAAGGTGTGTTAGTGTAGATATCAGAGGGATATAAACAGATAAAACTTAAGCTGGGCTCCAATGAGGGGAGAGTCAAACAAAGTGGCTAGTACTGGGAAGTACACAATCAGAATCAGAGAAATTGGAAAATTTCCGATGATCCTGACATGAACAGGAGAGGCTATGTCTAAGACAACTTAATTTGTTTTAAGACACATGAGTGACTTCAAGAACAACCTACTTCATCATCCCATTAGACTGAATCCCAGAAACCCATCAAACTATGGAATCAACCAGACAAAGTGTCTTTTCCTACCCCTTTACTCTAAAGAAATGATTTGTCTTGTCATCTTTTCTAATAAAACTGTCTTTTCCTGTTCTTTAATCCTGCCTCCTAGTCTATCCTTTCAACCAGGGACTCTAACAAAAGCTGACCTACTCTAGGATTTTCTGTTGTTGTTGTTTGTTGCTGTCGAGTCGTAGACAACTTATAGCAACCCTATGCACGAACAGCCTGAGCACTGTTCGTACATAGAGTTTCTGGAGGCAAGCCAGTTTGGAAGTGGATGCCGCTCCTGCTTCCAGGCTTGATTTAGTCATGAAGCTCCAGCCAACACTGTCCACCATGGGTCCCCATTACAACGATAAGCACATCACTGTCACAGGCTTCAGCATCACAGCAACCACGAGGTACCTCTGTACAGCAACACACAGATCAGTGCTATACCACCTAGAAGAATGTTTGACAGGAAGACAATTTGAACCTGGCCGAGGGCCGCAGATGAAAATCACCCACCTTCTGCTCAGTTGCATAGCTTCCTTTCCACTAGGCCAACGTGGCTCTCTCTTTGTCGTTGTTGTTATTGTTGTTTGGTGCCGTCGAGTCATAGATGACTCATAGCGACCCTATGGACGAACAGCCTGAGCACTGTTCATACATAGAGTTTCCGGAGGCAAGCCATTTTGGAAGTGGATGCCGCTCCTGCTTCCAGGCTTGATTTAGTCAGGAAGCTCCAGCCAACACTGTCCACCATGGGTCCCCATTACCACGATAAGCACATCACTGTCACAGGCTTCAGCATCACAGCAACCACGGGTTACCTCTGTACAGCAACACACAGACCAGTGAGTGCTATAACACCTAGAAGAAAATTTCTGTAGCTGAACATAATCAGGCCAAAACCAGGGGATTTGTTCAGTCTTCCATTGTCTCCCACCCAGTTCAATTCTTTTTCTGGACAAGAGAGAACAAAACAGAGAAATCACCAAACAGTAATGACAGAATAAAGACAAAAATTTTATTATACCTCAGAAACAAAAAAAAAAGACAAATACTGTATAACGCCGCTGTTACAATACAAAACTGACATAGGGACTTGGGAGGAGAATAGGAATAGTGTGGATAGTTAATGAACACTGCATTGGAACAGATGAAGGAAAGATTTGTTTAAAAGGAATATATAATTATGCATTATATGTATGACAAGAGTCAAGAATAAGAGGTACTTATCAAAGTCGACTGGAGGAGGTGGAGATGAAGAGCAAGCAGGAAATTGTTCAACAATGAATGAATATTTTAAAAAAGTGAACTGAAAGAGGTGTAAGGGGGAAGGGAGGAAAATTTGCAACAATTAATGGATGAAAATCCAACTTTTCTGAAAACTTTAATTGTTGTTGTTTGTTAAGTTCGGTCGAGTTGCAGGCAACTCATAGCGACACTATGAAGGAGAGTCCTCATTGCTTAATGAAAACTTTCATTAAAATTATAATTAAAATGAAAATATTATTAGAATGTATAATGTTATTGATTGTGGAGTGAATGAGTAGCTTAGAAACACTAAATTCTTGCTATTATTGATTTCAGGGAGCAAATTCTGGATTGTTAGGTGCCATTGAGTCTTTCTTTCTCCCAACAACTCTACGCACAACCAAAAGAAACACTGCCCTATTCAGGACCTTCGTGACAATCTCTGCTATGCTTAAGGCCGTTGTTGTAGTCTCATATTTTTCAGTCCTTTTCTCTCTTTCAATGACCTTCTACTTTTCCTAGCTTGATATCCTTATCAAAGGATTGGCATCTCCTGGTAACATGTCAAAAAGTAGGGAGACTCTATCATCTTTGCTTCTGAGTTCTACCATCCTTGTTCTACAGGACATTCTCACTGAATTTCTCCAAAACATTTCAGTTTGTCCTTTTAGCAGCCTGTATTCTATTCAATATTTTTTCCAACAACATAATTAGAAGATACCAAATAATTTCATTCTTCCATATTCACAGTGCAATTTTCAAATGTAAATGAAACAATTGAAAATTTGTGGCTCAGGTCAGTACACTTCAGTGTTTAAAGAGACATCCTTGATATTTAAATAGGTCCTTGGTAGCAGATGGCATGCCCAGTAAAAGCCATCATTTGACTTCTTTCCTGCTCCTTCTATGAGAATTAATTATGAATCCTTGAAATCTTCCAGCTATTCTACATCTATCATGATACTGTCTATTCATATTGTGAGAATTTGTTCTTTTGACTTGGAGATACACTTTAGGGTAAAAGTGTTGCTATGCTTACCATACGAACAACTGCGGGCCTACTGTATTGAGCTGATAAAAAGTTTAATAAAATGGTTTGGGGCTTTACTCCCAGGTCTCCAAGCCACCTTGAGTTAATTTTTGTCTATGGTGTGAGATGTGGATCCTGTTTCAGCTTTCTGCAGGTTGTAGTCCAGTTTTGCCAGCACCATTTGTTAAAGAGGTTGTAATTTCCCCATTTGATAGCTTTGATTTCCTTGTCAAATATCAGTTGATCATAGAGAGCTGGGTCTGTTTCTGGATTCTCAATCCTGTTCCATTTGTCTATGTGCCTGTCATTGTACCAGTACCATGCTGTTTTGGTTACCACTGCTCGGTTTGAGGTCAGGGCGTGCTCTGCCTCCAACCTCATTTCTGTTTCTCAGAAGTGTTTTGCTTATTCAGGGTCTCTTGTCTCTCCAAATAAACTTGATAATTTCTCTTTCAATGTCCTTGAAAAATGAATTCAGTGTCTGGATTGGGATTGCATTGAGCATGTAGATTGCTTTTGTTAGGATTGTCATTTTCACCATTTTGAGTCTTCCTATCCATGATCAGGGCACATTTTTCCATTTCTTTAGGTCTTTTATTGTGTTTTTCAGAAATGCTCTATAGTTTTTCTTGTATAGGTCCTTTGTATCTCTATTTAGGTTCACTCCCAAGTATTTCAGTTTGTATTTGGCTATTGTAAGTGGTATTGTTTTCTTTATTTCCTTCTCTGAGTTCTCTTGGTTACTGTAGTAGAATCCTATCAATTTTTGGATATTGATCTTATTTCCTGCCACTCTACTAAATTGGCCTATTAACTGTAACGGGTTTGATTTTTTGCTTTGTGTGGGTTTTTTTTTGTTATTATTGTTGTGTTTTGGGGGGTTTCTGTGTACAGTATAAAAAATTCATTTACAGACTTTGGGGAAAAAATCCCATTATATCTTCACTTATCTATCCCCCTAGTAGAGTTTCTTTTTTTTTTGTTCACATGCAGTTTTAGTATCTGAAATAGACGCAACCTCACTGTAAAACAAAGGAATAGTTAATCTAGAACTTCTTTCTTTGACATTAATTCTCACACCTATCTGGCCTTTTTTGTTGTTATGTGTCCTTGAGTCAGTTGGACTCATAGGGATCCTAGGAACAACAGAACTGAAGTTTGGCCTATTCTGTACCATCTTCGCAATTTCCCACGTCAAAACACATAGTGATTACTTGGTACACATCTGAAAGTTGGACAATGACTAACAATGAATAAACAAGGACTGATGCCTCTGAGTTGTGGTGTTGAACAAGAGTACTCAAAATCTCATGAATTGCCAAAAGAATAAGCAAGTATGTCTTTGAAGAAGTGTTCCTGGGGTGCTCCTTGGATGAAATGATTATTAAGTTTTGTCTCATATAATCTGGGCATGTTAGGAGAGATCAGACCTTGGAGAAAGACATCCTATTTTAAAAAGCTAGAAGGTTAACTAAAAATCAAACGAACTTCAGTATGATGGATTGACAGAGTGATATAATAGAGGGGTCATGCATATCTGAGTTGATAAAGATGGTACTATGAGTCACCTGCAACTCGATGGCACTTAACAACAACAACAACAACAACTAGATACAGCAATATCCAGATCTGTTGTTCATAGAGTTCTATGAGTTACAGTCAACTAAACAGAATATAAGAGAACATTAACTGTCTGTGATATAAATAAACTTGCAAGCATAGGCAAAAAAAATGCATAACCAGGAGTGGATAAAATCAATGAATGAAACTTTCTTTTGTTGTTGTTGTTATTAGGTGCCATTGTATTGCCTGCAACTCCTAGTAACCCTATGTATAGTATCTCTGAACCAAGCCTTATCTAGAACCAGTCTTACTGATTTCGACGTATCTACTTGCAATACCCAAGTGACTGTGTCAATCTATCACATTCAGAGTCTCCCTTTCCTGTGTTGTTCCTCCACACTGCAAACACAATGTCCTTCTCCAACACTGGTCCCTGCTAGCAATGTGCCCAAGGTATGTGAGAAAGCGATTCAAAATCTTTGCCTCCAGAAAGCAACGTAGTTTCACTCTCTCCAAATCAGATTTGTTTGTTCTCTTGGCAATCTAATGTATGTTAAATACCCTTCTCCAGCACCACAAATCAATGACATCAATTCTACCATCATCCTTAGTCATGGGCCAGATCTGTAATACATAACTAAGTTATTGTAAAGGACATGGCATGGATCAGGTTTACCTTAGTCCTCAATCTGACAGCACCCTGGAGAGGTTTTCCCTGCCTGTTT